TTGTATATCATATGTATTTGTTAAAATACCAAGGTGCATTTAAAAAAAGCAGCAGTAGCCATGGTCTGCATGATGTCACAGCACAAGTGCTCAGGCAGATCTTAAGTCTAATTTAACCCAATTACATAAAGCGCATCTTTGCAATAAAGGACACCATATTTGAACAGTCTTTTATGCTCAGCAAAACAGCTAAAATGCATGAGTACAGTAAGTGATGTGAGTGGAGGTAAAGCTCTGCCGTGTGCTGGATGTGTCGCCTGCGTCTCCGTGTGTCTGGTGCTTACATGTTGTCATAAGCCCAAACTGCAGTATTTACCCCAAAACCAAATTTTCTTTTGGCTTCTAAACCAAACTTGCCAAAGCCTGCCTCTTTTCGCTGACCACTGTGGACAGATTAATGACTGTAGGATCTTAGGAATGTTAATTAATTTGTGTATGTGTGCAGAGGGGAGGGGTTTATGGTTAGGTGGAGCAGGATGTGGGTGTATGGGGGGCTGTGGTTTTATCAAAGGCAGAGAGGGCAGAGCTACAGCAGAAGATGAATAGGTACTCTGGCCTGAGCTGCTGGCTGTGCCTGGCCTTAATATACAGTATGTGCTGCCACATAGTCAATGCACTTTTAATTCACCTCTTACTGCACACACACAGGCATTAACAGTCCTGTATGCACGCACACACACATGCGTTCATTACCCCTTTTACTAATGGAAATCTAATCATTACTCCACCTGCTTGTTCACACACACAAACACATCTCTGGGGTTTATTTATCATTGATATCCCCGGGTGTATTAATACAGGGCCACAGGGGGTGTTTATGTGCTTATGGAGCCACAAAGCAAAGCAAGACTAATTGTATTAACCGACCCAAAGAGAAGCTTATGATTCTGACCCCGAGCTGTTTATGACCCACAGATCAATCGACCTCCTTGCTCTGTTTTCTCCGAGCTTCTCCTCCAGCCTCCTCCAGTCCGTCACTCTGCTTCAGTACATTCTGGTGAGGCTAAATCATCCCTGTAGCCTGCTGTCTAATTACCACCATCATTAAGATACTGTATATGATTGAGCCCTGACCGTAAACACAAACCAGTAAAATGGAGAGGAGCAAACAAACATGAGTTTTACTGCTCTGGCCTGGTGATGCTGATATGGGACAGCGGTCTGGGGCCATTCAGTGTCTATTCCTCTGACATTTTCATTTCATATTTAATTGCACACTGGTGATTATGGCACTTAAGGTTTTATTTTGCATTTATCTAATGGTGCTCTGGTGGTGGCGTGGTGACACTTTTTATTTTATTTGGTGCTCAATCAGGCTGAATTTACCGTCACCTCACCTCCTTCTGTTCTGTTCTGTTGTGCCGGAGATCGGGCCGGAGCTCAGCAGGTGTGCAGCTGGTTCTGCAAGAATAAGTTTCATATTCATGCCAAAAACAGAATGAAATGGATTTGCTCTCTCTCTTTTTCACTGTCTCGTTGTTTTTCCCTGTGCTTTCTCAACTGTGATGTAGCATATGTATGTCCTCGCCCCTTCCCAGCACCAGTCAGGTAACTGGCAGGTGTTTGTTCTCTTTCTGTCCTACAGCCTCTGACAGCCCTGAGACCATGGAGACAGCCAGTCACCACAAACTGTGTGTCACCGCAGAGACAGGGCCGGGCAGTGCTGGGACAGTGCTTGTCACAAAGAGCCAGTGTTCCAAACCAGCCAAGCTCATACGGCGACGTCTCCGGAAGTTAGTGGCAGCCTGCGAGAACAGACAGGTGGAGCAGAGGATGAGATGAAAGAGGAGAGGACAGGTGGGGGTGCAGAGCAGGGGCTTTTCGTTTACTGAAAGGAGTCATTAAAATACTTCCTTTATCTTTTCTTGGCATTTTGTTGTTGAAGTATTCATCATTCACCCTATTTGTTTAGAGAAGGGACAGTGTGTGTCATGCACAATGGGGCCCAATGCTGTGATCACATTAGCCTTCTCGCTGCTGTCCTGTCTGGAAAGAAACGAGCAGTGCGACAGCTGCTGCTGTTTTATTGATAACAAATTGTGACTTTAAAGCAGACAAACACCTCTTCTGTCAGATGAGCCATTACCCTTTTGTTTGGTGTTGCTTCCAGTTTTTCTCCAGCTCTGTGAGGAGAGGTAAACAAATCCACCTGTCTGTAGAGGAAAGGAAAAGGGTTTTCATGGAATGACAACGGTAAATAAGAACTTCTCAGTCGCCCTGAGTTTCATGGATTTGGCTGACAATATCAGATATTTCTCTTTAGCAAATGAAAAGACAGTGTGACACCCGTTTTGTCAGTCCAACTCTCCAGCCTTGTCTGTGGCCATTAACCCCCAGTCCACTGGGTCCTACTGAAGACCAAGACCTTTACATACCAATGCATAACAATATATACCTTCACTGTGAAGAAAAGGGGCTCTGTAGGTTTAACAATTATCAGTCAAACAGTAGGACACGGTTCATCTGTTGAGGACTAGCAGTGACGTTGTTCAGTAAGTACTTTAGGTTGACAGTGTATATGAGACTGAGGCAAACATGTCACCCACTGCTGTGTTTTGCTATTCAGGCTTCTAGGGACAGTCTGCCACTTTGGTCCTGACTGAAATATCTCAAAAATTCTGAATCACCATGAACTTTTGCACAGACATTTATGGCCCTCAGGGATAACACAAGCTGGTGGTGGTGATCCTCTGACTTCTCCTCCAGGGCCAGCATGACTTTCATATTTGTGGTTTTGTGTGAAATGTCTCGACAACAATTGGCTGCATTGTCATTAAATCAAATTCAGGTGTTCCTGCTCCCCTGAGGATGAACTGTAAGAACTTTAGAGATCCAATCACTTGGTACTTCCATGGTAAACCTACTAAACCATATACACAGGCCATATACTGATGCATCAAATTTACATGAGATTAAACACGTGTTTTCCAGCTTTCATTTTATCTGCACAAACCTTGGTGGTGTTCTTTGGTTAATAAGGACAAACACAAATGGAGCTTTTTATTACAGAGGAATAAGATATATCAGGCTCACAGTACTATACTAGTAGATTTACTTCCGTGCTGGTTTTGGTGTTTGTCATTTCTGAGAACAAAAAAACACTGAACATCACTAGATTTATTCCCTGGTGAAATAAAGCATGAGAGATTAGGTTAAACTATGATAAAAGGACTTTTTAGGAGTAGCCATGACTTTATGACCCAGCAGATTGGAGCAGTTTCAATACAACAATGTGAACATGGTGTTAGTGTATGACCCGTCTCTGTTCCTGCAGTGTGCCTCGAATCAATAAGAACCCCCCACATGACTCATGGGCCTGTGCCCTACATCGGCGCTCAGCCGCATGTCTGCAGAACTTGCTACAAACGCTCTGTAAGCACTTTAACAGAAATGCTTGTTCTTTTGGTCTTTTTCTGCTTTCTTGTTGTTTTGTTTTTCACCCCCCGTCCTCCTCCCTGTCTTTAAAAAAAGAAACCTGCATTCTGACACTCATTAAAAAAGAAAAGAGGAAAAACATCAAGAGATAGAAGCGAGGCACTCTCACGCTCGCCTCTTTCCAACCTGCGGTCACGTACAGCCGTCACAGCGCGGAGAAGTGCGCTTGTTATCTACATCAGACTCCCCCTGTTTTCTACTCACCAGCCATCTCATATAAAGACAATCAATTATGGATCAAATGAGGACTCTTTTTCATCCATTGCTGTCTTTTCTTCATGCAGCGTGTCCTCGTGCACTGTGTGAAAACCAGGCATCCACCAGGTCACAGAAAGAGTCCGCCTGCACAGTCAAGTTCAACACTACTGACAAGTAACTACACACATCTACTGAAGTACTGTGAAAACATATCAGTGATTTGTTGAGGATTCCCAGTCTGTGACACTTAAATTGAGATAAATATGGCTCAATACTCTTTTCTTAGTTTCTTTCTGTTTTTAATTTATTCTTTTCATTGCTTTCTTTCTTCCTTAATATCATCTTATCATACTTTATTTTTCATTTTTTAATCCTTCCGCCCTGTTGTCTTTACACTTACTTGCTTCCTTCCTTCCATCTTCCTAACTTCCTTCTGTACTTTCAGTGCAACTCTTACTTTAAGTTGGCCTGCTGAGTACATTTTACATTCACATTGCTTTTAACTTTGGACAGTAATTTTGTGATGGAGTTTTTCAGCTGTGATAATATTTCTTCACCACAGTGAAGAGAAGGCAGGAGAACAGGACTCTGTGTGTATGTGTCACTTATCTCCATCTCAGCTCTCCAGCTGTTTCAGTAAAACAGAAGATAACCATTAGATGCCATACCTCCTCTTTCCATCTCCTCATTCCCATTCCTCCTCCTCTTATCCCCTCTATCACTCATTCATAATTTATCCGGAGGCTGATTTTTTGTCGACACAATCCCGGCGTCGCAGTGCAAACACTCGCTCCAGTTTCACTCAGGCTGCATGCTGTGTGGCCACTTCCTCCTGCAACAGGAAGCAGGTGTCGATAAGTACAGGAAGTGAAAACTGGCACCGGACTCAGGTGAGTCTATCCTCTTTGGTGTTAGATATCCCTTACCACCCGTTCCTTTGAGACTCACACACTCTGCACTAGCCCAACACATAACCCTGCTTACTGGTACATTCTAGAGGTTGGATAATATTACACCTCAACAGTCTGTAGTTTTACTCAGTTGCCTTAAAAATTAACAATTATTAGAAATATGCAGTACTTGAACAAATACTAGAATAAAAGATTGGCTCACTGCTGCAGTGACAATATATTGCCTAGATTTTAAACTCACATATACTTACTAACGCTCTCTAAGATATTCCCAGTGATGCCCTTAAATATTAAAAAAGTGCTTACAACTTTACCGTATTTACACTTATCCTTAGTCAGCAGCTTCATATAGGATCCGATGTCACCCTCTCAGGCCCCAGGAAAACATTTGACTATGGCCGCTGGTGTCTTTAGCTTCACGTTTCTGACTATGGAGTCTCCAATTACCAGAGTTGTTTTCTCAGCTGGTTTGTCGCTGAGTGGGGGAAACCGATTTGAAACGTGAACAGGCAGGCGATGCACCGTGGCCGTTTGTTTCGAGCTACAACTCGTGCGAACTGTCACCCAGCCACCTGGCTGAGATCCCGGCTGCTCGGGACGCGCTGGGGGGCGGCTAGCTTGGGCTAAGGTACCTCTAGGAAGCTCCGCACCGGGTACATGGGCCTGGCTAGCTGGGCTGTTTTCCATGGTGCAAAGCGGCGCCTCCAATTCGGTGAGTCTCACCTCCAATGCTGGTAGCATCCGACACTTATTAGAAGTACCATTATCGCTAAAGGAGGCAGAGGAATAACTGAACATGCGACACTCCGAGCAAGAGAAAGAAGAGGGGGAAGCCATTGCTCTCATCTCAGCTCCTAGCTTCTAAGCTAGCCGACCTAAAGTAGCAAGTTAAATTTCGAAATTGGCAAGAAATTCTGTAACACAAGTGCAGGCATATGTTGTGACTCAAAAATTTTGCTGATGATCAAATAAACCTAGAAATTAGTCATCTTAACAATAAGCAATCTGATAGCAAGCACAACATGATGCAGGCACAGCAAACAGGAATTGAATACAATTACAGCCGAACCGGAATCTTCTTCTTCTTGTGGTGTTTATTGGAAGTTTAGAAGCCAACCAAAGGTGCATTACCGCCACCTGGTGGGCTGGGGTGTGGAACAATAATAGAGCCGTAGGAATATACTGTATGTAAAAAAATAATAATAAAAAAAGATAAGTTTGTAGAACTGCATAAACTACTAAATCCTATACCAATATCTGCCAAATAACTAATAACAACTCTACGGAACCGGAATCAGCCCTTTAGACGCATTAAATACTAATGGCTGATGTTATTTCAATATTTTTCATGAAAAATATTTACATTCAATTTTAAACATGTTTTGATGAAAATTAGGGAAAAAATCGTACAGGCATAAAAAAAAAAACAGGATGGAATTTATCATGTTACAGTTTACACAGTGATCCTGTCATTAAACAAGGCAGCCCTCTACCATTTGCCTCCATTTAGTGGTATCAAATACCTGATATGTGCAATCAGCAGTGCTTCAGCCAGCAGCACTCAGTGACCACAACCTGAGAAACCACTCCAGGCTCACACATACAGTACGACTCCTTTTATCTTAGTGGGGAGGAGGATTCTTGCTTTCTCAGACAATTTGTGTTATGACATCAAACAATGAGTCAGACAGCGGGTTGATGCTGAACTGCTGTGGCATGTTACAGTTCTAATGAAAGTGTAAAACAATACACAATTCATAATTTTTTTTAATGAAAAGCCCTAATTAGGCCTCAGTTTAAATAACCTCAAGTGATACTTAACCCATCGATTGGTGCAGACTTCACAGGTGAATCTAAAACCTTGGTCATTTCATTTGTTTTATTATAAGGACTGACCTCCACATAGCCAGTATGGTGATAGGAAATGTGTTAGCCAGTGACTGATCTAGGACAGAGCAGTTTTGACAAATCAAAACAAAATCAAATCAAACTTGAGCATCTTTGTACAAATCAATGCAATTCGATGTGCTTTACAGATGAAAGACAATAAGATAAACAAATGCTAAATAAAAATGAATTAAAAATGCAAGACAGATATAGGATACAAAATAACTAATAACAGTAAAATGTTTTAGTCAGGAGCCAAAAATCAAAGATGTAGATCTTCAGTTTAAAAACACTGTCAGCTGCTCTCTGACAGATAGTTCCAACAGCTCAGAGCATAAAAACTAAAGGCTGCCTCACCAGACGTTCTTGGAACAAGTAAAAGTCTCAAGGATCTAAGAAGTTCATTCGCTGGAGGCATGCCAGACAGATGCTCTGGTGCAAGGCCATGAAGCAATTTTAAAAACCAGTAAAAGAATGTTAAGTGCAGGATGCGGGCACCGCACACGCACACCTGTACATCCACTGCTCGTGGGCACTGAGGATAAGCCGGTGTATTTAGCCATGTTTTAGTGTGAACATAAAGTCGACTATACAAGCTGAAGAGTGGTGGAGGTGATGGACATCACATGTTGTAAGTGTCTGATATTGGACACAGACTCTGTGGGGAGTGTTACTTCAAGTGAAACAGTAAAGTGTTCACAGCTTCCTGACAGTAACTCTGGGCTTTGATTCAGTGTCGTGACTCGTGCCCTGGAGCAGTCAGAGCAGTTTCATTCTCAACAGCCAACTGGACACGGAGTCCCTTTTTCTCTTTGACCTCATAAACTCTGATGGGGAAAATGTCTCTGTCAATCCATGGTACGTTTAAATCAGACAAGATGGAGTTGTGTGTTTGGTCGTACTTCTCCCTTTGCCCCTCCTGAGGGAGAGGAGACTGTGAAAACAGGGCCGGATCCCTGAGAGGGTTGTTAGTGTGTGCTTTCAATTAAGGACAAAAGTGGGCTGGAGGGACTTGTGGTGGGTAAAGAGTCTGAGGTGATTACGAGCTTCCTCCTCTTAATGAGCTGCAGACGCCCTTGTACTTATTTACAGTTGAGGTCTGTCAGCCAGAGAGAGAGGGACTGAATGAGAGAGGAAGGGACCGTTTCAAATTATTACTATCAGACAGCAAGTGGGATATTTTTATTTTATTTTACTGCTCATGTCATTCCATTTTATTCACTTCTATTTTTTCCAAGATCTTATTTGCTTTTGTTTTTCAGATTTTATACTTCCATAAAACTGAAAAACTCATCATCCAATATGTAATCCAGAGGCTGTGTTTATCATTTTGTTATTCAGAAATCATTGTATCATGGTGCAGCCAAGCCTACTGTACTAAATCCAAAGGATCAGTGTAATTTTTATTTATAGTGGAAGCACAGCAGACTTTCACACAGATGAATATAAAAGGACTCGTTTGGATTTCCAGTGAAATACTGTAGGAAACAGGTCGTTTCTGCGACATATGGCTATTGTTTGGAACACTTTCTAATCTCTGCTTTGTGTTGTCTCCTCGAACACCTTGATAAGTTCCAAATAAAACAGTTCGTCTTCAGCTGAACTGCTCACACCTCATTCACATGTGCATTATAACAGACAGTTGCAGGTCATCACCCTCAGGCCCCCTTGTTCCAGTGAGACAAAGAAAAGTCTTGTACAATATAAGAGACTCTCATCTGCTCTCGGACTGCGATCTCCTGAAGTAACCCCAGGCCACAGGGTGAAGCCCAGACATTCATCTCCATGTCGGACAGGCCCACTAGTCTTAAGAACAAAGTGAAACTCTGCCCTGAAAGTGATGGACCGTAGATGACCCACTCTCTGCATGCAACAACCCTCCGCCCCACCTTTTCTCCCCCCTCTTTCTAGCTGAAGTTACATTCCCAGGAGACTGTTTTCTGGACGGTTTTCCGTGAGCGCGATGGGATGAACTCTACATCTCTCGCCCGTAAAAAGACAGAGCAAAAAGCAGCTGCCTCAGCACCTGCTGAGCCCCAGTGAAAATCAAAATATCAATAAGCTCTTATAGCATTAAGGAAAATGCCTAAATCTGACACTTTCTCTCCCTCTATCACCTCCTCTCTCCCTTTGCCAATATCACTCAACCACTTACACTTGGCATGGGACCACTGGAGAGTTTTACATGTACATTAAGAGATGCTTTCTGCCTCTATTTGTCCTCCTCCTCCTCTTCCTCCTCTCCACTATATCTATTAAGGTAAATATACACTGGCTGGGGGGTGACACATAGTCCATTCTCATTCATTTTTGAGCAGGTGATTGACAGGGCTGGAGTTATCACCACGCTAAAAGAAGACTACAGTAGGACTGGCCCGCTGGTCTGATAATATAATGTTAATGTCTTACATGAGGGAAGCCACAGGAAAACAGCACAACTGCTTGTTCCATTACAATAAGGTGGAAATCAGTCATGTTTAGATTATCCATAACTGTAAAAGCACCATCTGACCTCATGAAAAAATGCCCTGTTGAGGGAAAAAGGATGAAGATATGATACACATTAAAGAGCGGGAAAAGTGGGCCGAATAAGCAAAAAGAGATATCAGAGAGCGAGAGGAGTTTAAGTAGGGAGTAAGGTGTGGAAGAGAAGAACAGCCCAGGGCAGGAAGAGGATGAAGAGAGGGACAGAGAGAGAAAGTAGTGGTAAAGCTGAATGATTGCTCTGTGAGAATTATTATTGATGATTCAGGCTGTGTGAATTATTAATGGGGAGTGAGAAGCATCTTTGAACGTGTCTCTGACATTCAATACTGACAGAGATCAATGAGCTGGCGTGGATGTGAGGAGGAGAGATGTAGGGAGGAAGGAGGAGAACACTGAAAGAGGGAAAAATAAACAAAGAAGAAATGGGGAAAGGAAGGTGTTTGGACAAGTGGAGTCCTTCAGATGGCTGCTTGTCACAAAGGTTTAGGGAAGACGATATGGCTGCTGTGAGTAGTCATGTGACAGTTATGAAGGTGATTGGCTGTGACATTGTCTTGGTCTAATGCTCCTCCTCAGACACAGGAAATCACAGAGCAGCTTCATCCAACCCCCACATCTTGGAACCTGTCTCTCCTTCCTGTCTGCCATACCACTCTGTGTCACTGTGTATTTGTGTGTGTTTGAGAGAGAGAGTGGGGATCTTTCCTCAGAGGGTGTCGGACAGCATGGTTTCTCACAGGGTTAAAGATCTTCCTCACACTTGTCACTGCTTCTGTGTCTATGCTGATGATGTCCTGTTCTACCACTAAACCCCTGATCTGGCCTTGTTTACACCCCACTTCCTAATATTCCGACCCCTTCATGTACAAAAATGGACACCACTGAATATAATTCAGTACAACACCAGCTGTGATCTCAATAATACTTAATTGAATTTATACATTTCTGACAATTATGAGCACCATAAGGGGCTGCATAGCAGCATGATGGTTAGGGCTGTCACCTCACAGCAAGACCAGACCTGCCCGGGGACTTTCTGTGCAGAGTCTGCATGTTCTCCCCGTGCCTGCGTGGGTTCTCTCCGGGTACTCCGGCTTCCTCCCACAGTCCAAAGACACGCAGCTTAGGTTGACTGGTGTTGATTGGTTGTTTGTCTACATGTCTGCCCTGTGACAGACTAGCGACCTGTCCAGGGTAGACCCCGCCTCTCTCCCAATGTCTGCTGGGATTGCCTCCAGGCCCCCACCACGACCCTATTTAGGGTGTAGATAATGGATGGATGGAACTCTTATCTAAGTAAAATAGTACAGTTGAGTGAAGTAGAAACCTCTGTCTGTGTGCGGCAGTGTGTAGGGGTCAGTGGGTCAGGGAGAAAAGACTGATCCTAAGGGACAGACTGCCAGGGCCACTTAGCTGCTCCTCTGAAACACAAACCCACACACACTCATGCTGTTCATTTGGTCTGTCAGTCTGACGGTTGTGACATGGACGTCACTGGGGCTGACACTAGAAGGGGACAGGGCTCAGCTCCTGTCGTCACGGTAACATGCTAATGGGGAGACAGACGAGCTCCAGCCGCCACACCTGATCATGTGACAGACTAGCGACCTGGGATGGGCGTTCCTGTGAAACAATCGGAGCTGTACACCGAGCATTCGCTTTCTCTTACGGTCATACACACACAAATGCTGTGATGACTCAACATGGATTTATCAATGTGGGCCTTTAGATATGTTTGTTTCCAGTGACATCTGATGGCCATGTTCAGCCACGTTGGATCAAATCCTTCAAGAAGTTGTGCAATCCTGAAAACAAGAAAAGCACACTGATACATAAATGCAGGCAGGTTGTATCAAACTCTCTAAGTCAGAGCTTCCCTATGCATTTGTCTGACTCTGTTTGCAGTATTGTTTCTTGGAGTGCATCCAGGCTATGCACAGTTCCCATCACAAGCCTGAATGCTGACATATCTGTTTTTTATGATCTGCAATGTGAGCAAAATCCTTTTTTGCACCCAACAGGATCATTTAATGCATTCTCATATAGTAAAAGTGCATTGAAAAGGCAACCGTAACCCTATGCGACAGACATATTTGTAGCTGTTGAGTCAGAAAAAATATGTATATTTGTAGTTGTATGCAGTTCATGGGTGTTTGTGATTTTTGTCACTGACACTGCTTGTGGTGAGATACTGATGCACAAAACGTTATAGCACTTGAATGTTCACAGTGTTGTTTATTGTGTTTCTTCTGTGTTTGATTTTCCCACAACAGAGCTCATAAAAGCGACACACTTTCCTCAGTCACATGTACCAGAGTTTGGGCCAGCTACTAGCACACAGCGATGCACCAGAACCAGCTGGGAAGATTTCAGGTGAGGCCAAAGTGTCAGCTCCATCACTTGAATAAAAATAAGACACAGTCACTTGAATGGTTTAAGTCTCTGTAAACTGATACTAAACTGTAATTAAATGGCTGCCTCAGTAGGACACACATATTTAAATGATGGTTGGGGCTCATTAATTATGATTTTTATTAATGAAACATTTGGACTTTGTGACTGAACATTTTAATAATTCAAAAATGGGAAAAAAAAACATTTTTTACAGAAAAAAATTACTTAAAAAAATTTAAATACCATTTGTGACCAAAAAACAAGCACATACTTTTTATTTCTTATATAACTTGATGCATAATCTGTAATTCTTCTGGTTCATTGTTACAGGCTGTCCATTCCCTATATGACCGGAGTAGGAGCTTGGTTCACATTGCCGGCAATAAGTCAGGCCTGTTTCCGCCAAGGCTGCCCTTTGTCACCAATTCTTTTCATTATTTTTATGGACAGAATTTCTAGGCGCAGCCAGGTAACGGAGAGTGTCTGTTTTGGTGGCCACAGAATCTGATCCCTGCTTTTTGCAGATGATGTGGTTCTGTTGGCTTCATCAGTTCAAGACCTACAGTGTGCACCGGAGGGGTTTGCAGCCAAGTGTGAAGCAGTGGGGATGAGAATTAGCACCTCCATATCCGAAGCCATGGTTCTCAATCGGAAAAAGGTGGATTGCTCTCTCTGGGCTGGGGGCTAGTTGCTCCCTCATGTGGAGGAGTTTAAGTACCTCAGGGTCTTGTTCACAAGTGAGGGGAAAAATGGAGTGCCAGGTTGACAGATGGATCGGTGTAGCATCCACAGTAATGCGGTCTCTGTACTGGTCCGTTGTGGTGAAGGAGGAGCTGAGTCGTAAGGTGAAGCTCTCAATTTACCAGTCAATCTACATTCCTACCCTCACCTATGGCCATAAACTTTGGATCATGACCGAAAGAATGAGGTCGCGGATACAAGCGGCAGAAATGAGTTTCCTCCGGAGAGTGGCTGGGCGCACCCTTAGGGATAGGGTGCAGAGCTCAGTCACCCGAGACTATGTCTCCCGGCTGGCCTGGGAACACCTTGGGGTTCCTCCTGAGGAGCTAGAGGAGGTGTGTGGGGAGAGGGAAGTCTGGGAGGCTCTGCCCCCATGACCCGGTCTCAGACAAAGCAAACGAAGATTGATGGATGGATGGGAAAATATGGATTGTGTGTTTGAGAATCAGAAACATCTTGATATTTCTTAAATAAAATTGGAAAAATTTTTGTTAGTGTCTCTTATACTTAACCAATGAACTTTATGAGTAGCTCCCTGCTTTTGGTCACCTCAGCTCAGCTGATGGTAAAGCACTTCTATGTTTAATCCACCATCTAGAGACAAAAGACAGGCCCTGCCTCCATCCTCAGCTCCACCCAGTGTACTGTTCCTGCTGTCTGTCACCTCTGAGCTTTAATACAAAGGGACATGTAGGATTGACCTGGCAGTAAAGCACTAACAGGCTGTCTGGGCCCTTTACAGCCAGTAAAGAGAGATGGACTATTAACCTCCATCACCTCCACCTCTCTCATCCTCACACTCCTGTCACTCTCTCCTGTGGTCCCCACCATCACTACCTGGAATTGGCTGGGGGTGGAGTGGTGGTGAGAGAGTCGTCGGGGGCGAAACAAAGGGGTTAAGACCAGCGTCGGTGGCTTTCTTTGTCCCCCCTGGTGGTTTTATAGGCACGTGAAGAGTCAGTGATCACTGCTACTGGACTGACAGAGCTGCTGGTTAAGGAGCGCGCTCATGTTGGAGCTGTCAACTGTAAGCTCCCAGTGTATTCACTGTATTGTTTGGAGGTGTATTCTGTATGTGTGTGTGATGGTGATGACAGAGAAAAGGGCAGAGAGTAGCTGGACAGAGGTGTGAAAACCATAACCCTAACCCACTTTCAGTAGAAAAACAAAAGAAAGTCCTGTGGTTGGTTTAGCCAACAAGCCCCACAGAAGCACGTGGTCTCAGGCTGGTTCTTCAGTCTGCATCAGAGTATGACTGACTTTCACAGAAGCCCATCTGAAGCGAACCCAGTAGGTTAGTGTGAAAGCACCATAACAAAAGTCCCCAAAAATGTTCAGTCGGATTGAATGAGCTCTGGGCCTTCTTCACCCATTTATTCAGGTTTTTGCTTTTAATGTGTCGCCCATCTGTGTGTAGAAAAGTGTGAATGAACGAACAAGTGAATGAACAAGGGAGAGAGTTTGGACGCAGCTGAAGCGCGGTGGAGATGAATGATGGAAAACATGATCAAAGTTGTACCTGTATAAAATCATGTTTGTTCACTGTCATCTCACCTCGCCACCAGCCTCTATGTGTAAATGACTCCAGCTGAGAAGAGACAGATCTCACCCCATTTGGAGGCAATTCTCGAATGAATCATTTGCCCTGTTCATGGGGTGTTTGCTAAGAGGAACCCTACAGACACACAGGCATGTGCGCGCACACACACACACACACACACACACACACACACAGAGACAGAGAGAGAAAGATCAGGAGAACGGAGTCAGAGAGGCAAGCGGGGGTCTCAGACAGCAGCAGAGTGGCAGAGCAGTCCCCATAAAGCCCAGGTTCCCCCTCCCCCCAGCCCGAGCAGGTTTGGGGGGGGGGTATGGATGGACGGACCACTTTCAGCTATATATCTATGTGCTATGTGTGATGAAAGGAACAGGGGTGGGGGGGTGAAGAGAAATACAGTTGAGAGAGGAGGAGGGTCTGCATCGCCCCATTGTCTCCCCAAGCACCCATAAAGGGCGTAGGAGGCGAGGGATCATAAGCCTCGTTTGCCAGGAGTTATGGCTGCCAACAGAAGGGGAGTCGGAGCAGGCAGGCAGGGCCACTAACTGCTCAGGATGTAGTTGTCACGGTAACCGGCAGGTGCTGGTGTCAGCAGGGTCAGGGGGATCCTGGGTGGACAGCAGCCAGGACAACACGGTGCTGTCTGAGAACACAGTAGAGACATCAGTGTCACTGGTGTCAGTGGTCAGCAGAGGAAGGGTGGAAGTGGTGGTTAGCCACCCGCTGGGAGAAGCAGGGTGTGGGGTGGGGGATTACTTACAGTTCGTAGCAATGGTGACAGATGCAAAATGGATCTGACAGCAAAAATGGATCGAAAAAAGGGAAGTGGCGAAACCATGCTGTTAGGAGTGTAAAGTGATTAACACTGTATTGAGGACACAACCAGGGCTAAACAAAACCCCAACAATGTCACAATGTTGTCTGACAGACCGGACTTTTCCTGCACTGCAACATTTTCTAACAACTCCTGTTATTGTACATGGACACGGCAGGCCCTTGACCACTAATGTTTACCTAACCACTGTCGAAATAATTATCTCGGTCCTTCTCATGATATCATAAACACTGCAGTGTTTTGTTAAGACTTCAAACTCATGGATCTCTTACTCAATTCAGCCTTTGCTTTCTGACAGCACAGCAGCACACTCCTCCCTCCTTTCTAACACCCACAGCTGAAACATATGGGAAAGGCTATGGTCTGTGGTGCAGCGACAAAAGACAAATGGCAGTGCGCTCTGAGTTTGTCGGCTGAGTCTTCAGGACCAGTCTGACTGTCCTTGAGTGGCCCAGCCAAAGTCCAGACTTAAACCCCCACCGAACATCTGTGAAGAGCCCTGAAGATGGCAGGTCACAGACCAGCGGTGTGTATCTCTCCCTCTCACACAATTTGATCTGTATCTTGATTTTAAAAAAATTATACAGCTTAATTTGTACAGCCGGTGTTTTTTCCTCTGATTCAACAGCGTTATCTTTGTAAGTGAGTAGCGAAGTTCATTGTACTGCTGGTACACTGGACACCTGCATGCAGCACATTTTACACACTGCAATTGCTTCATCAAGAAACACACACAGACTAGAGGCCAGAGCACAAAGAGAAGAAACAAGAAACTTCTGAAGGATCAGTTTTTGATATCCCTGCCTATTTTAAACCTTGTTTTTAACAGAGTTTTGTTCCAACGTGTGGATTTGAGCCAGTGCAGTTGTATCTCTGACTCTTGTATTGAATTTTAACATATATTCGTTCATCTTTCCATCTCTGTTCAAGATGCTTCCCATCCAGTCGTGAAGGGTCTGGATACTCTCTGAAGCTACTGTATATATTTGTGCTGTGTTTGTACCAGACTGTGAACCCTGTGTCTGCACATGCATCAAACACCCCTGACAGATGTTCGTCTGATTTTTTTTTCTGCAGACCTTTCTTGCATCAGGCAGGTGAAAGTTATTACAACCATGCAATCCTCATTTTGCTCCTTCTCTCTCCCCCCTTCCTTCCTTTCTTCCTCCCCATCTCTCCCTTGCTCTATATGTCTTGCAGGGTCACTTGGCTGTTCAGATGAGATTATGAGCTATAATGGAGGAGGTACGGAGTGCTGAGACAAGGAGAAATGGCCCAGCGTGCAGATAGGAGATTTGATGATTAGTCGATAGCTCTTCTCCCTCATCAGAGAGGAGCAGAGCATGGAGATGGGCATGCATGGACCTTGATATTATATAGGAAATGCATTATTTTTTAAGATTACTTGAAACGGTCCCAGAAAATCATTTTAGCATGAACTAACCTTGAACATTCCTATACTTATGTAAATGATGGCCATCAGTGGTAATCAATGGGTGGAATAGCCTTGGGGGTCTTAAATGTTATTGAGAACGTTTTCGATTTTAGCAACATTTCGTTCTCAGGTCAGTTATAACAGCCTTGTCAGACAAGCCGAGGAGTCATGTCGCTACTGATCTGAAACATTTTATTCAGTCCAGTACTGCAAGTCTCCATTAAGTAATATTTGAGTGGTGAGCCAGTTATTTGTTATCAACTTATTTTTTCTTTCAGTCGATTTGTTTGATTCTGGAATGAAGACTAAAGTCTTTTTGGTCAGTGATTAAACACTGAGCAGTTGGATGAGAGATGAAAGATGCTTGTGAGCTGTCAGTCCACATCTGGCCTGGACTGAGCTGTGAGGTTTACCTTCTGTCTGTCCCAATAGGTCTGCTGTCGGGGGGGAGGATGCGGTGACATAGAGCACCTGAGGGACGGGCTCGTCATCAGTGCCAACAGGAAGCGTGAGTGACACCTGACACATAGCTGCCCAGAAAAGCATCTGACTGACCAGATCTGACACAAACACAGGTGAACACACACACACAACACTGGCGATGTGAGCAACGATTCAGATTTCTGGAATCACTGTATATAACCGGTAATACATAACACTCA